CCACTTATGGACTACGGAGTTGTACAACTACTCTCAAGATACAGCGAATCCAACCTCACCAAAATCGAACGTCAATACAGAATGGCACTGAAAAATGCCGCACAACTTCCAAGACGAACACCTACGGAACTGATCTGGGAGATGGCTGACATAGAAGCTTGGCACCTACGCGCCCAGGACCTTAACTCCAAAATGTTGGAAAATATCTCAAAATTAGAAATAGAAGACCTTGAATCCACTGAAGATGCCTATCATGCTCATGGGGATTTTAACCCTCTCAGGGTTAATCACAGAATCGGAGAAATACTGTTCGACTCTTATAAAAAAGGTTACAAGCGTTGGCCTACAGACAAAACAAAAGCCCCGCGTCCCCTTAAAATAAAATAATTATAGCAAGAAATATTATGTTCCTATAATATACATATTTAATATACTACACAGCGTAAATAAAACACGTAATATGCTTACTTAGCGTCGCATATTACGAATTAATAGAACAAAGCAAACACAGATCCATTAGGACATAAGTTAGCTGACTCACCCCTGTATGGCCCACCGGCCACAGAGACATTTTGTAAGACACAAAGTAGGCAAATAAATGTTATTCTGATTCTGATTCTGATTCTGATTCGACATTTGCCATTCAACGTGGCAATGCTGCCAGTCTTCTGGGAACTTTCCCCTGTGATAGTGATGCGGACGAATACTTTGACGCCTAAATTAAGGGTATAATTTTTGTTGTTTTCTTTTACTTTCTTTTTATTTAATAGTTTAGTTGTAGTTAATTTTAAGTTGTAAATATTTATGTAGTTATATAACTTCGACATGATATCGTATTTTCACGCGGAGAGTAATTCTTCGGCACGATAGACCGACTGATGTGCTGCGATTCCACGGTCTCATAGAAAATCTACGTGAAACAATCGCATGCGTTGTGTTTCTCCGTGTCAGTCACCAAATACTTAATGGTTGTAGGAAACGAAGTAAAATCTTAAAGTAAAGTCGGCTTCTATATTTCTAGAAAAAGTAAATACAGAGTAATTCGCCTATATACCTAATAGGTGCCTAGATAATCTAGACTTTAGGTATTATTATTCAGTCCGTGCTCAATGAAATGACAGTCCGGAAACATAACATTTAGTCTTCAACTTAATGACGATGATTTAGTGCAGTTTTGTGTCATACTCGCGTCATTCCAGTCATCACGATTGTTTAATGTTTAGCTCTTCCATATGTTACCTCGGTGCATATGTCTAACTTATAACTCAAAACAATATTAAGCATGTGTAATGTGTATATTATTCCCTGTAAAGTTAGCATAACGTAACATCATTACGCCTTTTTATCCCCGAAAAGAAAACAAGAGGTGCATATTACGGCATTTAATACCGCTGTACAATGTAACACCCACTTTTCACTATTTTTGTTATTAGTCCCATGTAATAGGGGGTGAGCCTATAGCCATAAACCGGGCACAATTCCAGATTCTGTGCTACGACCGAGATTTTTTTTTAAAACTCCAGTTATACTTTGCCCGACCCGGAAATCGAACTCGAGATCCCTTGCCGCCAGTCGCACTTGCGACCACTCAGCCAATAATTTGTCTGACTGTCCAGGTCACTGCTTAGCCTCAGTTTCCCATAGGAAACAATGGTTTTTCATAATTACCAAGCTTGGGTTATGGGTTGGACTTCGCTGTTTAAAAGGTTCAAGGTTATTAGGCAGTGACCGTTCCTTTAACTTGACACAACGTAGGTAATTTGTCAAAATCGTTTACTTGTTTTTCAAAATAAAAACCTAAATATATCACAAAGATATTTGTTTTGCGAGAATCGAACACGCAGTACATACACAGACTAAATACATACATAAAGCAACAACGCAACCTTTTAAACAATAAACCATCAAATTACTATGATTACATAAACGATTTCCTTAAAAAATACTATATACAAATCGTATTTTATGTTTTGGACAGCACAAAACAATTTGTTGATAACTATTTATTTATATTCTTGGAATCGAATAATGATTACTAGGAATCGAGTGAGAATCGAGTTTGTGTGTAGTGTGGAGCGTAGCACGTGGGCAATGCACGTGGGGCGTCTGACGTAGGTTAAGGTGACTACACACGATTTGAAAATTGTGATAATGTGTAGGTTAATTTGCTTGTTCATTACGTAGTACCAGCAAACCCGGCGAACTCCGTTTCGCTACCATTCTTCGCTATAAACCTCTAGATGGCTTCGATTTATGTAACATTCTTTGCTATAAACCTCACGGAGCCCGAGACCTTTCCAACGAATGCAAAACCTTGGAAATCGGTTCGTGCGTTCTGGAGTTATAGCGTCAGGAAGGAAAACCCGACTTATTTTTATATAGTAGATAAAACTGCTCTTACCGACTTATTAAAAAAAACGTTGCCTTACACTAGGATTTTCTCCTGTGTCGTGTTACGCTTACAAACATACAATGACACCCAGACCCGAAACAACAATCTGTGGATTACACAAAGAGACGTTGCGCGGAAGCCAGTGGCCCAGCCACCGCGACAAGCGCATCAATCTTTACTTGAGTAATGAACCTAAATATTATAATAAACATTGGCAATTCAATTAGACAGTAAAAGTTATAACTTGTCTTGACATTTTTTTTTTGTAACTTACAGTTTACGTTAGGTAAGGAAAAAGCATCGATTTTATTTATTCTCAGTTACAGCACAGGAAATCGTCGTCATCACCATCATCATCAAGACCAGATAAAATAATTTTCAGAACTCTCAGTGGTTCAGTGCTGGACGTAAGGCTCGTATACCTATATTAAAAAAAAAAAAACCTAATGCACCGCTACCTCTTACCTTATTCGAATGCATCACAAGGTGTGATACACCTGTAACTTCTTACTTTCAGGGGAATAACAATTCAATCCTTTCATTGTATTTCTTCAAATGACTAATTGAACATTATCCCTATAACCCGAGTGTACGTGTAAAGAGACATCAGACCACCACGGATGGGACCGAATAGGGTTTGTGCCGATACGGAGCCATGGAGAACTTAACGGGTTACCGGGGCTCCGGCTCTAAGGGCAGGAGTAGGAACGGGGTGGCTTTAGTCAGTAAGAGTTTGACACTCCCTCCCGCCTCAACCAGGCGGAAGAAGTCATTCGATGATTTTCCCCCCTTAAAAAAAATCCCTACAAATAATTTAATTATCAAACTCCGAACTCGGTGTGTAATCTCCACGAAACGAAACTGCATGCACGCTGTCTGCAACAGTTCACTCAACAGGTAACACAAACTAATAGTAAATCCAGTCGAAACTAGTTTCTGTCCAGTACACAAAATAAATGACAGTTCATCGGCCATTTTGCGGTTGACCGCAAGAACACAGGTATGGTCAAATAGCTACAGAGTGTTATTTTATAAGCAATTTTATTATTTATCACCTTTAGGGACTTTTTTCTCAATGAAAAGTTGTGAATAATTGTTATTATACACTTAAAATGTGTGACTGGTTTGTAAGAATTAGGTATTAAACAGAGTTTCCTTAATATTTATATTTTATCGTCTCCTTAAGTTTCTTTGCTAGAATGCTGATGTTATAATTTTAATCGTGTGTAGCAGTAACGATTGGGTTAACATTTCATATCCTCACATAACTTTTTATAGATTCAGGTGCTGTTAAAAAGAGCAAAAGGTCTATATTCAAAACCATGGTTGAGTTATGCCTGGGCGTCATAAAAAAGAAATCATTGATCATGGGGGCGCTAGTCGTGCCAACATGGCCGCTAGACGTGCCAAAGTTGTCGCTCCAGTTCAACCCACATGTTTATTTTTCCCGCTCATCGCAAACGCAAGACATGTTGTCACGCTAGCGTGGCGAGACGGTAAAATTTCTCCAAGAGAACTTGTAATTATTTTTCCATCGCTAGGTACAATATATTTATCAGTGTTTACAAAAAAAAACTACAACTTAATTATCTGTGTATATTTTCCTTATAGATATAGCAAGAGCATAAAAATAAATTTATCTGGAATGGCAAGCAAAGTACAAAACAAATAAATAACAAAAGTAAAATAACTCTTTAGTAAATAAAAGGTATAATGCAACATTATTAATCCTTAATAAATAGAGTCAACAGTCTAAATTCCAGGGTATCTAAATAAGTGTATTTTGATACCTAGGTTAAATGAAGGTTAACGCTAAGGACTCAATCAACCGCCAAGTTTAAGGGCGATAACCGCAGAAAGTTGTGGTCTCGTGAGTTTTGAAGATAAATTTCCATTCTATCATCGCGGTGGTCACGGAAGAAAGTAGCTTCGTGAGTCCCTAGCCATTAAACCCAACATTCCCGGTCTTTAAAGACCTTAAGACGTTCCAGTGCACATTTTGTTCGCTGGAAGCAGTCATCTAGACGGCCACTGTTCCAAAAAATTATCACACATCAAGATACCCTGAACTGTATTTTATAACGATACCCAGTCATAAATGTCGATAAAACAATGAGTTTAGAAAAAATGAGTATTAAAATTATGTTTAAATATTGACGTTTAAAATTAAGTATCGATATTGGCTTAACACATAACATAAATAGAATGATTTTTCGTTATTGAATGTAACAATTAGCGCTCTACACATTAAACTTGTACATTTTTGACATTATATTTAATATCACATTATCATCACAAATAACCAGATGAAACCAGAAAAAACTTAAGAAGATTTGAGTACCATTTGGTTATTTCAACTTAATAATATAAATGCAAAAGCAAGTTTTCTCGTTTGTTCTTTTTTACGCCTAAAATGCTGAACCAATATAGAAGAGTCTTTACAGCCACTAATGGAGGATAGGTTAAAATGATACCATAAGTATATTACAATAGAACCCGACAAAACCTAAACATAATAGCTTCAAAAATCATCGATCCAGCCTAAAAAAGTTCACTATATAGAGCGCTTTAAAATATCAGTATACAAATCCACGTCATGTATCCACATTTACTCTTTGGCAGCCGCTACTGGTACAGATAATGCACTGAAGTCAGGCTTTCCAGGAGTATAATGATCCCAAGTAGAGAACTCTTTGGCGAAGGCTGTTCCTGGACATTCAGTCGCGCTGACCTGGTTGTGACCAATGAGTTTATAGTCCGGGCTGATCTTGCCCTGTCTCACTCCTTCTGCAATCAGAGCCTTAATCGTCGCCAATGATTCTGCTGGTGGGGCTACCTCTGCAAATAAAATGAAGCATTAATAAGTGAACATTATGGTCTATATTTACTAAACACGTCTTTTTGGAATGAAAAATATAGTTTGATACTAAACGGTGACCAATTTGTAGATATGCTGTTAAGAATTTAACATTTAAAGTTGAGATCCAAAAGTTTAAACTACTTAATTTTGATTTTGACATGAAAAACTAAATAAGTATGTAGTTTTCTTGCTACAAAACTACACATTATCAAGAGGAAAAGATTGTCTTTATTACTTCCGAACAAATCAACTGCTCTACAGTGACTGTGATTAAGGACATCCTGGATACAATTTCCGAATCGTGTAATGAATTTTAATTCTATTCAAACACTTATTTCCTGATTAATCATCAACAGTTATTTATTCTTCATTTTTAATGGCACAAGAATGCCACATCCTCTTTAAAACAAATCCACAGAGATGAGAGGAACATGAACAACTGTCTTGGTTCCCCGCCCTAGGGCTTAGATCTTGCATCAAAATAAACAGAACATCTCCACAGGAGGAGAAAAACCAAATGATTTAATCAATATGTAAAATTAATACGGAGTTGATACTAGATGAAACTAAGAAGACTAGTTTTAATAGTTCACATATGTACTGTATGATCCTGGCTTACAGGAGTTGCAGCGGTTTTGGGAGATAGAGGCGGGCTTGTGCCAACAAAAAAAAACATTTAAAAAAAGGTTCACGTATTTAATAATGGAATATACATACCTCTCCAGTCTCCAATAACACAGATGCCGATGCTGTGTCGGTTGGCGACGGAGGCGTGGATCCCCATGTTGTCAAAGCCCCGACCTTCGTACGCATTTCCTTCACTTCCGATACAGAAACTGTTGACAAACAGAACACTGTTACTGTTTTTGTATTTAAGATAAAAACTTTGGAAAAGAGGATAACATGTTATTAATAATTAGCGCTTCCAAAATGAAAAATGAAGTATTAAAGGGTTAAAGTTACTGATATTTTTATGTGAGAATCCGGAAAACGAGCATTCGCATTACCTGATGGTAAGCAATCGTTGCGACCCATAGACACCCAAAAGTCTAGAGGTGTTACAAGAGCGTTGCCGAATTTAACGAATGGGGAGTTAGGAAATGGGGTCCCTTCCTAAATTTTTCCGAACCCTGATACGCAACCCGATAAGCAACAAACAAGACTGTTAAACTAATTTTTAATTTAATATTACTCAAGGTTTGTTATCTCTGCCGGCATTTAGATTTGTTCCATGTTTAAATGTTGCATTCATGACCACAGACACTAAAAAACTCAGTATAATGACAACTCAAGTTGATAACCTCTTTGGTAATTCAAAATTCAAATTCTAAAAAAACCAGCCAGGAAGATAATTAACATAAGATTAAAAACAAAGGTCATGACCGAGTCGGTAAAAAGGTGACATATTATTATTGTCCTGGATGTAAACTTAAAACTGTTTGTTTATTTTTATATATTTCTAATGCATTATTATTTACAGTCTTAAGGGTTTTCAGAAATGCAGTGAAATAGAATCAAAAAGATGATAATCTATGTCTAAGAAAAAGAATTAATTGGCCTTGGCCTCTAAAGTACGTCTTCTCGAATAACAGAATACTCCCGATTCTAATAATTATGATCTTCTTACACATTCAAAGACCAGATTGTGGACAGCTTGATGTGCAGTCTACCGAGCCATTCGTTTTTTTATAAATAAATAACTACAGCTACCAATCTAAATAATCACACTTAATATGAATGCTAAAAATAGCATGGCTAATTTAGACATAGCAATTCAACCAATGCTTTTTATGTCGGAACCACGGAACCGGATTTAACATAATATATGTAATAGTCCGCTTTATGTGAAACTGGTAATCGGCGACATAAATATTTGCAATATCGCCGGTCGGTGATTCCCCTCCGACCTACCTTTGGTTGGCGTTTCAATAGTCCATAATTTGTTTTAATTAATTCATTAATACATACATACATAACTTCACGCCTGTCTCCCATGGGGGTAGGTAGAGACTATGGAACGCCAATTACTACGATTTATACATACCTCTTTCGCTTCATCAACAGTCATCAATCCTTTCATGCATGCTCGTCGGTTAAGGGTACTTTTATTTTGTCCCTACTTTAATATATCGCCAATCCGGTCACTATGTGTCCGTCTAGAGCGTCTTCTATCGACGGCCTCATTCATATCCGCTCTGTATACTTCTTTCGTTACTCTACTTTCATCCATCCTTTCTACATGTCCAAACCATTAATTTTAATTTATCATGTTCAAATAATTCATCAATTTTACGTATAAATATAGTTTAAGTTACTTTAAGACTTGAATAAAGTAATAAGTAGATTTACTACCTGCTCGTTATGAAAAGATATGATATCAACATCATCATCCTGGTGACTTCAATCATCAAGCAGGGATGAGTCCAACAGGTCCGTCTCCGGCCACTAGTTCTTTCTGGTCCATGATGTGCACTAGTCGTACTTTGACATTGCACTAAAGATGGCCTACAATACTATTGTACTTATTCTAAAGAATTGACTGCTCGATGATTGGGCAAACGGCTGCCGCGCAACTTGTAGCGGGTTGGATTCCCGCACGGAGCAACTCTTTGTGTGATCTATAAATGGTTGTTTCGGGTCTGGGTGTCATGTGTATGTGATATTATATGTTTGTATACACACCCAAGACACAAGAAATTTCTTAAGGAAGAAACGCACCTTCTTTGATTTCCTTCTTCTAAATTAATGAATATTCTGATCGGTACTCAACCTATTATAATCATTTCCTACAACAGGACGGGACTTAAACAGTTTCTAACAACTTTATAAGTATATTTCCTCAAATCCCATCCACAAATCCCCTCAACACTTCTTCCTCATAATTATATACTTAGTCACAGTTTGTTAGTATATTATATATTGTTATACTGTAGGCAGTATGTGTCATACACATTATGTACCAATAATACCTACAGGACTTCAAGGGGCGTGGTTTTCCTGTGATGACGTCAAATAATTCATGTTCGTTGACCAATCAGTGGTTTGTAGTCGAACGGTTTTATGAATAGCTTCGCTTATGGATACTATAGGAATGACTAGCATACCTAATTACTGTTTTGGAGACTATGGCACTGATATTTTTTCGTAGTATGTTATTGTATTTTTTTTATATCTGTTTATATATGTATACTTTTCCTTTGTACGTGTGTAATAGTGTGCCACTTATCTCCTAAACAGTTGCTTTGATTGTAATGTTTTTTGCTCAGCGTCTCATTAAGTCCTTTTTTGTTCAGACTTTACAGAGAATATGATTCAAAGGTGATATTACATTAGGCTTTTTTTAAGGGAAGAAAATCATCGAATCGCTTCTCCCGCCTAGATGAGGCGGGAGGGAGTGTCAGACTCTTATTGACTAAAAACCACCCCGTTCCTACTCCTGCACTTCAAGCCGGAGCCCCGGTAAGCCGTTAGGTTCTCCGCGGCTCCAAATCGCCATCAGCCCTGTTGGGCCCCATCTGTGGTGGTCTGATGATTACATTAGGCTACGATAGCATGTCCACTAGTAATATACCTACTGACCATAATAAAATGGAGAACTCAAAATTTTGAATCTAACAGTCAGAAAAAGTCTTTAACATATTTGCTAGTCTATATGGCCTGCCTCGTTAGTCGAGTGGTTGCAAGTGCGACTGCCGGGCAAGCGGTCTTGGGTTCGATTCCCGGGTCGGGCAAAGATTTATTGGGCTTTTAAAAAATCTTAGTAGTAGCACGGAGTCTGGAATTGTGCCCAGTATATGGCAATAGGCTCACCCGCTATTACATGGGACTTATAACATAAATAGTGAAAAGTGGGTGTTACATTGCACAGTGGCATTAAGTGCCGTAATGTAGACCTCTACATACCCCTTCGGAGATAAAACGCGTGATGTTATGTTATGTTTAAATCTCTAGGAAGACTAGAAACTACCTAACATCATGCTATTCTAGCGTAGCTATAGCAACATGAGACTATGACATGATATTATCATCTATTGTTGCAAGTTATACCTGTTATGTATGGACTGTAGTAAAACATAACTTAAAGATGGCGTCGATCAGTACAGTTCATTAACCCTACGCATAAGCTGGGTGATTAATAGAACAATATCATTTATAATGAAATACGCTTCGTGTTCATAGGAATAACGTAGTAAGATTTATATATTATGTATTTATCATTCACATTATGTTTCATGAATAAAAAACAGTTCGAAAGATTCAATGAACGCAGATAAACTTACTTAAATCTGTCATGTTTTATTTATTCATTGAATTTTGAACTTAATGTCAATATAATAAAGTGAAATTTTGACAGAAAAGGATAGGTTTACCTGTCGGTCCCCATACGTATTTTTTAGCTGTTATATGACTATGACTTTCATGTAATATCACTGTGAATAACACAAGCCGGTAAACAGGCAGACGGATCACCTGATGATAAGCAATCGGCGTCGCCCATGGACAGCCAAAACACCAGAAGTGTTACAAGTGTGTTACTGTCCTTTTGTGGATTAGGAATTTGAGGATTGTTAGAAATTTGGGAGATTGGGGGAATTACGCCTCTAGTAACCTCACTCACACGACGAAGCACAACGCAAGCGTTGTTTTTAGTGAGGCCGTGGTATCACTCCGGTCCAGCCGGCCGATTCGTGCCGAAGCATTGCTCACGCACCCTTTAAAACGGTCGTTTAAATAAATAATAATAAGAAATAATACCTATACATGTTTGATAAATATTTATCTTTTTAGATTTAACGTGGGAGTCCCGGCGACTGTCAAACTTTCGAAGGTGACTCACTATTATCAAAATTACGTCTCTTATAACTTCTATTTATTTGACCTTCCTCTATCAACTGATAAATATTAATAAACAAACCATTTATTTCTATATGGAGACTACATTATGTCCAGTTATCGGGTTTATTCATAAAACAAATATTTTTTTTTGTTGCAAAACTTTATCTTGCTTCTTTTGAATTTATTGTTCGCAAAAGAGTATTTAATAAGATACTGTTAAGTATAATTATGAAATATTTTTAAATGATACATATTATTATTGAGAGTTTTTTAAAATCTGACATAGGGTCTAACCTAGGCTGTTGTTGCAATAAGAACTAGCTTTCTATCTGATTTGGTGTAATGGACACACCTTTATAAGTCAAATACTGTCATAGATTTTTTAAGACCAAGAGTCGAGGAAGAAAAATTCCGCATTATTTTCTTAACTTTGAAGTTACCAATAATGTGCATTCCATTATGGCCTTTGTTTGGTAATACTATTAACTACCATTATTGTGTAACACCATATTATATGACTAAGGAAAGGTAAGTGAACCTTTTTAAACCGCCTTCATTTGTTTTTGCGCTGCCCGGGGAAAAACAGACCACGTCTTATGTAATAGTTAGTAGACCACTTCAGATTAATTTATAGTGACTTTAATAGTGTATTGCGTATTATTTACATTATTACAAAACAATAATAAGATAGTAAAAAGATGTACACACGACTATTTGATCTTGAAAAAGAAAATATAACCAATGTTCACTCCTTTGTGTGAGTAGCAATAGATAGCTAGCTTGGAGATAAATCAATTTCCTAAAAACCTCTTTTTTGGTGAGAAATCTTTATGGAGCCCTCTCGTCTGAGGAGGACTAAAGAGACTGTCTCGACTAAGCCCCACCCCAGTGTCCCACCTCACACGTGGGTACGAGATTGGGGAAATGTATTGTACCCTTTCCTAAATCACTAAAAAAAATAGTGTTAACAGTATAGTGTCATTATCGAATCTAGAGACCAAGTTTCCTCGATATTTTTTAAAAATAACACCGTTAATTATGTTTTTATAATAACTATCGTAAGACATACTAAATTAAGTAAAATCGCAGGTTACTCACGTGAATAGAAGGGGTTCTTCATGAGGTAGAACCCCTCTGTGGTTCGAAACTAGTAGAGTTCGAAACTAGTAGACTTTGACTGCCAATAAAAAACTGTTGAAGGCAAATCCTCCGCTAACGCCGGTCACCGGTGACCCCCATGGCGTTTAACGTGTTAAGTAAAATGGCGGGTTACTCACGTGAATAGAAGGGGTTCTTCATGAGCAAGAACCCCTCTATGGTTCGAAACTAGTAGAGCTTTTCAGCTTCACGTGAGTAACCCGCGTTTTTAGTTCATCCAGTTAAATATGTTTTCCAAATTGATATACTTTATTGCTTCTTACTGCCATTGTTTTTGTCTCTGCATCACGCAGAGATCTGGCTGGAAGAATATGCCCATGTCATTAAGCTCATCTTGTACAGTAATATGAGCATTAAGCCATTTAAAATGAAATAAATAAAATATACCTTCTGATTTAAGTAGTCGTCGTCAGTACTTACATACTGGCGAGGCTTATTACGTTTGGTTTTATGCACATGTGTTCATGTGTGCTCACGTGAATGAGGGAGGATAAAATCAATAAAATGGCCTCGTACGGAAAGGAAAATCTATATTTTCCTCTATTTTTTATCTTTAAGTAATTTCACAGGGGTATTGCAAGTATGTAGACGTGTATACGTATGTACTCATGTTTTCCTTTATATTTTCTTTAACTGTGACGCGCTTTTTTCATAGATTCTTCCATATTGTTGTAGGTAACTAGGTAAAGGAAGATGTATCTATTTGGTTTAGGTAAATGTCTATGATGTATTTAGGAAAATCCAAGTGGTACATTAAGTTTTATTAGTACCCATAAAATTTTGTAATTATATTTGGAATCACGTGTATGAATTACACAACACAGGTAATTATGAATCATCAAAGCCATTTATAAAACTTGCACTGGGCGTAAAACATATTATAGAGGTCGGTATGCAGTTGATGAATACGTTATTAATAAGAGATGGCAATCTGCCCATCATTAGGTACAGTTCTACCAACATTTGTTTAAATCTATATTAAAACTGATTAAGAATATTAGACGAGGAAGTACTGCTAGTGGCCAATAAACGAGCAGCAGCATCATCACCCTTTTTACCCGACTACGGCGAAGCTAAAAGTAGGTTTATGATTTTGACCGGTATGTTTGTATATATATGTGAATCTGTTCCATCCTAACTCCTAAACTACTGGTCACAATTTGATAAATGGGGTATCATCAGTAGCGTCTCATTAGTCAGCTGGTGATTTTATGTAGCCGTGGTTCAACTGTAATTCCTAAGCCAAGAGTTAGTGTAATCCGGAGCTGCGGACGACTTTAACGGGTTATCGGGGCTCCGCCTCGAAGCAGGACTAGGAACGGTCGTGTATATGTAGTCTGACACTCCCTCTCAAGGCGGGAGAAGTCATTGGATGATATTCCCTCAAAATGAGAATCGGGAGTTCTTTACTTAGGCAGATTGATTATGAAGATTGATATGATGAAAGTTGTCAGTGTACTGGAAACTTTATTAGGTAACTGTCATCATTATCGTATCATTCTTAACACGCTATTTTCTATGTAAAATGAAATCAACTTACTTGTATCCAATATCACCCCAATCCAGGCTGTTGTGATATCTCTGCATAGAGCGCATTTTCGCTGAGCAGTCTTCCTTGTCGAAGCAGGCTCCTGGCAAGTACGTGTGATGGAGTACCACGAACGGTACAGGGTGATTCAAAGGCCTTATATCTGCAGAAGGCTCGGCACCCCACTCATCCCGGCTCACAAATGGGAACGAATAACCATTGTCTGCAACAAAGAATCGATTATCCATCTTAGTACTTTATGATAAGGTCCTAATTTAGGTGGTTAAACTTTATCGGCTAATTGTCTAATGTTATCTATGTATTGATTGTTGATCTATTACGTCTGTATTGATAGTGGTCATTGTGATTAGCTAATTTCACTTTTTTATTGTTGTCGTGGTCAATGTTAGTTTTTTATTGTTTTACTAACAATGGTTATGTCATCGGGACTTATTTTGTACTCAAAAAATTCATGTCATTTGTAATTACTTAAAGACTAAGAAGAGATGCACCTGGTTGCAGATATGTTAAGGTTATGGTACCAACACAGATCCCTATTATAATTTGTGTTCATAGCAATTTATGAGATACTACACAAAATGTTTTTACAATTACTTCAAGTATTATGGCAGATAGTGGTGAAAAACTATAATTATAAACTTCTCCAATATTTGCTTTGAAAAAATAATATTGTATAAACTGGTGTATAATAATATTTGCACGCTTTAAATATTTATTTCAACACCTTTTTACAGTGACAATTGTTAATTAAATTATTTATTAATTATGAAAAAAGGCAAAGATTTAATTATTTTCCAATCTCACACAATAACAAAAGCAAAACAATGAAAGAAAACAAACAAATAAACCACTTACTGTTGGTAATAAATCTGGGCGACGCATACGCAGCCACGTTCATAACGAGCACAGTAACAAACACTCTGAGAAACGCCATATTGCAGTAATAAATTAATTAAAATATAATAAATTTATTCAGTACACTAGTGCAAGTTCGTCCAAGCTTGGCTTGTAGACCTATGCGCTGCTCAAGCGCACGCGTTCTTTATAAGATACGTTTCAAACCCGCGGTACTTACCCACCGAAGTTCACCGATAAGCGATTGGTCATACGCGAAACTTTTGTGTATTATTTAGTTATTGAAGACGGACGATTTTTGGAATTAGGGATTCCACACGTTGACAAATTTAACTTAAATTTGTGATTCAGTTACAGTCGAATGAGGAAAATGAGAAATGAGATCCTATATTTGATGGAAGTGTAGGATCTTTAAGACGTACAAGGGATGAAAATTAAAATAAAAGAAATTCTCAGTAGTAGCACGGATTCTGGAATTGTGCCCGGTATATGGCAATAGACTCACTATTACATGGGACTGTCGCAGAGAACCTAACGGGGCTCCGGCTCGACGTGCAGGAGAAGGAACGGGGTGGTTTTTAGTCAGTAAGAGTCTGACACTCCCTTCCGCCTCACCCAGGCGGGAGTAGTCACTCGATGATTTTCCCCCTTAAAAAAAATAATTACATGGGACTCGTAACATAAACAGTGAAAAGTGGGTGTTACATTATACAGTGGCATAATGTGCACCTCTGCCTACCCCTTCGGGGATAAAAGGCGTGATGTTATGTTTGTGTGGTATGTATGTAAGGGATAAAACCACCATTGGGTTCGGTTATCCTTCTGGGCTATTTTTGGGTTGGGTAACAAATATTGGGTATTTATATTTAAGTTTCTTATTGAACTGAGTTTGGAACTGCGCAGTGGATGTAGATAACGTCATTACATGGACTTATGCAATTACATGATTGGTGAAAATATAAACAAAAGGTAAAAAGTAGCCTATGTGACATTATACCAATACACACAGCGCCATCTATACCAATACTTTGATTTTTCCTCGGAAATATAAAATTTTTCCGGGTTAAAAAGTACCCTATTATTTTATCCGGACTTCTAACTTTACGTCTGCAAAAATTCAAAGCAATTGGTTTAGTAGTTACGGCGTGAAAGTGGAACAAACAAACAAACAAACTCACTGTCAGATTTATAATATTAGTATAGTAAGGAAGTAAGGATTACACCCACTTTTCACATTCTATCTCTCATGTAGTAGGTTACGGTTCAACCCCTAATTCACAAGGCACATAGATATGTATTTGCCATATACCGCTAAACATATAAATGTTCTAAAAAGCAGAAAAAACCCTGTAATATTTTACCAGATTCGGGAATTAATACCCTTTCCTGCCAGTTACAATTGTATCTAACCACTAGAAGATGATAAGTTATTTAAGAAGTATTTTTATCCTTACTTTATTATAAGTACCTACTACCTAATATAATAATGTTAAGTACAATTACGCTAGTTAAATATTTCAGTTATTGTTACATAACTTCTGACCTGTGATCTGTACATTATTTAAACATTTCGTAATCTTAAAGTATTTGACTAAAAAAGTTAGGTATCAACAAAATTTATCGATTGTTAATTAAAATGTAGTTAAAAAGTGGTGATAATAATTGTAATAAATCAAATCTTCGTCTTTGATTTATGGTTATGAAGAAAAAATATACCTCTAAGTCCTCAATCTTTGATTTAATTTTATTAATCGTTAATTTTATTTATACACCACAGAAAAACGTTTAACGCAAATTAATTGGATTCTAGAATAATCTAGAATAATGTAGTATTGTTCTAACAAATCCGGGTATTAATTTATTGTTCTTTATTTGATATTGTTCCGTAAATTCTTAAAGAAGTTGCACAAAATTGTCATTTATTTTGCACCAAAAATGTGATAGTATCCACTTTTTAAGGTACTGGTCCTTTATTCTGTGTTTTCGGTAATAAGGACATAAATAGTTGAACCCAAGACTTTGTACTCGGTAGACGAACTTACAACCCCTTCCCAGACGGAGCAGGACTGTCTAGAACCTAAATACTTGACAGGAAATCCCAAAATCCAGCAACCGATTAAGTACTTACTTGGATAAAAACGACTATTTTGTTTATTGTGCATAAGTTCTGTTTAGTTAAATGTACTTAAGCACCTCATTACTGAACTTCAAAACAGACAAAAACAGGTGATTTACTTGATTTTAGATTTATCTTTTTGTCGGATTCTGTGCCGAGGTACCAAAGATTTTCGGAGACGGTGACCTAAGGAGGAGGCGGAGCGCGTGAGTGAACGAATCTCCTCGCGCCCCAGCCGTCGCGAGAGACACTCCGGGCGTGGGGGATCGCGAGACGATATCCGGCCACCGTAAGCACCAGAGAATCAGAACCAACGTGCGCCTCAAAGAGCCGTCAGACCACCACAGATGGGGCCCAGTAAGGCTGATGCTGGTCATATATGAGAAATAAGAACGGGGTGGTTTTTAGTCAGTCTAATCTTTTACTGACTAAAAACAACCTGACCCTCTTTCTTGCCTCACCCTCAACCATTAAAAAAGGCATTTAAAATTACAATAGGTACTAGCCCAATAACCTACTTAACTAAATATTCTACACATGTACTTTTTGTAGGTAAACCCCTTTTATCCATCCTACCTATCGTCATAATCCTGAATTTTGATATCTCTGAAAATGTGCAATCGAATTCTTGTTTTGTGTTTTCAAAATATCTTATCAAGTTAAAGCTTAACTAACGTAGACAGTTTTTTACGCATTTCGCATGCGAAAATATTTTTTTTGTCCACTTAGGTAGAGTACTTAAAACTTACGTTTGACATAATAAACGCCCCCAATTCAAAATATTCATCATAAGTGGCGTAATCGCACACAGTAAAAGCACTGACACGACACGGCCCCGGCACGGCGTTTTTTCTTAGGTACAGCTTTTTAGTATTGATGTTATGAAAAATATGTCATATAACATAAGCTCTAATGTTCAAATGTAATTGCTGGGTTCGAGCTCCAACCCCTTTGTGGTTCGAAACTAGTAGAGCTTTTCTCAGTATATTCGCGTGAGTAACCCACGATTTTAGTTAATTTAGTATGTCTAACGATAGTTATTATAAAAGCAGTTAAAGTGATTAGTACCTACGAGTTTGTTTTATACATTAGAATCTCAACTCTTAGCCCCGAAGGGGTAGGCAGAGGTGCAGACTACGACACTTAATACCACTGTACAATATAACACCCACTTTTCTATATTTTATGTTATGAGTCTCGTGTAATAGGGGGTGAGCTTATTGCTATATACCGCGCAAAATGTTTGATTTAAGGGAGACATACATCTCCAGTTCCAATGAACCAACCAATGGTCATCATGGTCAACATGGTCTCGTTTTGATTACTTTAAACGTAAAACTTGTACCAAGTGTTCAGATGTACGATCTTCGGCCACCGTAAGCGCGGACGGCGAGCATGGGTGGCTCGCCGCCCGACCAGAACCAGACCACCACGGATGGGGCCCAATAGGGCTGATGCCGATACGGAGCCGGAAACTAACGGGTTACTGGGGCTTCGGCTCGAAGGGCAGGAGTAGGAACAGGGTGGTTTTTAGTCACAAAGAGTCTGACACTCCAGAGAAGCCATTCGATGATTTTCCCCCCCTAAAAAAAGCCTTCAGATGTATTTCTATATGTATTTACCTTAAATCAAATATCATGAAAAAAGACCTGAACTTATTTATTTATTTAAGTAATTGCATAAACTGGTCTAAGTTTAAGCAATTTGTTTACAACTCCAACGTACATTTAATAAAGCTGTAATCGCCAACATGGCCTCAATGGAATGAAGTAAAAATAAGGTTGAACGCTCTGGGGAAGAACATAACTGTTCCAACGTACTATGCGAATTACATGTATGCCAAAATAACCCTTATTAATACACAGGTTAGGTAGCATTTTGAATTACGGTGACAGCTCTTTTATTTAGCTACTATAGATGTTCGAGAATTTCAAACCTCTTTGTACTATGTAATTTCACTGGCTCGTTGGCCGAGTGGTCGCAAGTGCGACTGCTGGGCAAGGGGTCTCGTGTTAGATTCCGGGGTCGGGCAAAGTATTTCTGGGTTTATAAAATAATGCCTGCTTACCCCTTTGGTAAAAGGCGTTATGTTATGTTTTTATATCTATACAAAACTTTGTCAAAATAGCTAATTATATTATAATTCCTCAATTGTTTTGAGTTTGCCAATACTTAAATAATTAATGCTTACGGACTGTAAAAGAATTTTGCGATTTGTTGTCAATATTAGTTGTCACTATCTTCTGACGGATAGTAATCGCAATAACATAACAGTATTGTTTTAATTAGCACCTATGTGATTTATAATAGGTACTTACTTAATGTCCGAATTAATGTGTTCTTATAGAAAAATTACCTTTTGTATTTCTTTAATGTATTGTTTATAAATCTGTGGTTTTTATTGTTCAAGCTGACCATTATCTAGCTCGCTTTTGCTATTGTGACTGTTGTTACATACCTCCTTACCTACATGTATCTTACTATTTAATATTACAAATGCGAACATTTGTGAGTTTCTGTATTTGTCTGTATGTATGTATGTATGTTAGTCAATCACGTCAGAACGGCTCAAGGGATTGTTATTTAATTTGGTACAGGGATAGATTATGGTTTAAAATAACACATAGGCTACTTTTTATCCCACGGAAACGTGAGCGAAGCCGCGGGCAGAAACTAGTTTAAGATTTTATGTATTATACCTATTTTATTTGTATACTGTAGATTAAAACTATGTACAATGAAGGTTTCAAAGCCACAGTCAATAGAAAAAATTGATACGTTGGTATTTTTCACAGAACATATAAAGGAGATGTTCTGTGGTATTTTTACACCACTATTAAACTGTCAAACACCAAGCGGTCACCGGTGACCGCGACCTATTGTTCTTTAATTGTGTCTATAAAACCGGTACTCGACGAGTTAAGTAATGCAAAGAAGCTAAGTACGAAGTAGGTGCAAAATGACACTAAAGGCATAGGTTCTCTACATAGGATAGGTAGGTAGGGTAGGGCGTGGCACTTAACACCTTTTAGGGAACAGAGAGTTAAGGCTCCTAAGAAAAGGAGGATTCTCCTATCAGTCGAGGTGATCGTGCCTGGCGGGCTTCCTGCCCAACAATCCATGTGAATTCGCATGAAAACTTCACATGTCCGGTGTAGGATTTGTGACGTCATCCGTGAAAACCTGTGACTGGTCTCTGAGAATCTTTAAAGATAATTCCCAGGCCGGTATACATAGTCAAAACCAAACACCATCGATTTTTGTGTATTAATTCTCAAGTTGTGACATGAGATGGGAAAATAGAGATTTGTTCTACGGTTTATTTTAAAGCTAAAGACTCACGGCGCGATTTTCACTCGCACCTTTGTATAATACAGATATGTATGTAAAAATCAAATCAATTTTCACGGCACGTTTTACGCGGTGGTTGCAACTGTTTGCGGCTCCCCGCTGCACCGGTGCGGTCGCAATGGGACGACCGGTCTGGAACTCAATTGATTGTTAAACCGCGCGCCCGTCTTGCGATAATCAACCGCCTAGTTTGCGGGCGCCAATCGCAACTGAGTTGTCTCGTGAGTTTTAAAAATTCCGCCACCATTCCTTTACCGCAGCAAGCGCGGGAGAAAATCGCGCAATGAGTCCTTAACCTAATACTTACATTGATACAGATTTTATAAACAACCTATTTTTACAACTAGCACGTGCTAACAAAGAAAGGGGTAAGTACACAATCGTTGCCTTGTTTACGTACAATCTCTTGATATCAAGCACACAGCTATTGTGATTGCTCGTTATCAATATCATTATGTACTCGATGCAGGACTCATAATATTGTTCATTCATGAGTATTAGTGGAAAATCTCTACGTACCTATGTCGTAGGCATGAGAAATATTCGCAAGTATACTGTCTTATTCTATTGTCTTTCATTGTACTTAGGTTGTATTTAGCTCGCCTCGTTAATTTTTTTGGGTTAAATTAATTGGAATTTTACCACTTTCCTGGCGACAGATCGATCTGATATTTGGTACTCCCTCTTAATCTTGATGACCATACACATTAACACCGTTTAACATAAAAGTATTTTTATGTATTAGGTATTATGGTTTTCATTGCATGTAAAGATTAACATTCTTCCTCATTTTTTCAGTTTTAGATCATCTAGTAATTTTGAGGATCCTCTCTTCAAAATAAAGAAGTTTTGTTTTAGATTTCTTTTCAAAGCGTCTATGACAAAGATTAGCAAAAGGACAAAAAATTTTACTAACATTAAGCCAAATAAATGTGTATGTTCTTGTAATAACAAAATTATGGAAAATTAATGTTCACTCTAAACACACGGTATAGTTCAAAATACCCCACATTAAAAGGGTGCAATGACCTTTTAACGTAGCGTAGTAAAGATAACCTACCATCTACAAGTAAAATAATGAAAGCAATAACATCTATTTTTAAATTAACATCACATTATTTTAGTACATAAGTAAATGAGTTTTTTAGAGGTCATTTGCGGTTTTTTGGTTTTTATTTGCTCGAAAAGTAATACTTATGTGCTGTGCTTTTTGTAAAGGTGCGTGTCCGGGGAAGAACTGCGGCCATCTTTGACATTTCTAGCCAAATATGGGAGGGAATCCGGCTGTTTGGGGCCTGGCCTAAAGAGAAGTAGGTGGTTATTGGGCGTTTATTAATTTAATTTACCTTTTTCTTATCTCTTTTGTGAACAATCTGTTTGATAATTGAATTAATTTTAATGATTTGCAAAATTCGCAAAGATATTTATTGCACTGAAATAGAATAGAAGTAATAATTATGTATGCACATTAAAGGTAAGATATTTTTTTAAACAGTCATAATGTTAGAAAATCTAATTACAGTTACTGACATGACGGTATTATGATTAGTGTCAAAAATTATCTGATATCTAAAATTGGTAGAAAAGTAACTAATATATTTCATAATGAGTTGTCGTTATAATTATGTGGATACATAGACTTTTTAGAATATAAAGGATACCCTGAATATCTGAGAGACTGAGGTAGAATATTAAAAATATATCTGGAATAGATTGGCATATTGGGATTAGGTAGTTAGAACAAATAACAATTTAAACAAGAAAGTAAAAATATAAAAAATACAACATTTATTTGCTAAAACACTTAAAAATAATCACAGCACTGTTCACAGCACAGTTTGCGTCGAGTATTTACAGAGTATGTGACTAATATAGAGGTATTTAGTTCTAGTCATAAATAAAACCTAGACATTACAAGAATCACATCTAAATCATTGCTCTTTTTAGTATCGGATTTACTGCGACAATAATGGTAAATGCTATGGGCCCCAGTCAATAAATGGGCCCCGTTGGTATATCCAAATGCAACTCTAGCTTAACGTATGAGACTGTACCCAATTGTACACATGATAAAATACCTACAATAAAAATTTGAATTGGTCTTATAAGACTAGATATCAATGGGCCCCTTAGAAAATTTTGTTACGGGCCCCACACACGCTTAATCCGGCACTGGTTTTTTTTCAATTTCGTTCGTTATAGGGCTGGTGTGAAATGGTCCCAGGTAGATATCTCGTTGAAGAGGGCTTGTCCTGGACATTCTGTGGCGGACACCTGTCGGTGACCAATCAGCTTGTAGTCTCTACTAATGTAGCCAAGCTCCACTCCACTCGCAATTAGTTTCTTCAGTGATTCCAATTGAGTTTGTGGGGGAAGTTTATCTGTAATAAAAGACAAATGTTATTACGTGTAATGTAATATCATTTGATCGAGTTGAATGATTCTTTAGATTTTGTTTTGTAAACTGTTGTGGGGCGAATCTTAAAATTGTTTTGCGATTAATGTTATCATCTCGCGTTCAATTATAGGGACTTTTTTAGCTTTCGTTAAGTAGAAGCTAAAAATAGGTGTATTTTTAAAATTATGAATGTATGGAGTGAATAATAACTCAATTCAATAGTTGTTTTGTATTAATGTTTATATTTAAAGATAAATAATGATCTTATTAAAAACTTTTATTCAAAAACAAAGATATACACGAGTAGCAGAACAAACGTCTCCTATCAGTCGAATTCCTTTAATCGATTTTCAATCCTATTTCAAAGGTTAATCTGTCAAACACCAAGCGGTCACCGGTGACCGCGACCTATTGTTCTTTAATTGTGTCTATAAAACCGGTACTCGACGAGTTAAACTTTAAAATTGCAGGAATTTGAAATGTTACGGTGACTCCACGTGCAGTCGTTTCGTACGTATATTTTGTAGTATATGGAGATAACATATCAATATTGTTTTATATTATTTATTTTGAACATGTTATCAATACGAATAATAATTATTTTATTGCACCTATCGTAAACGATGAATGAAGGAGTAATATACCTAAGACCTAATATGGTCATTAATTGATAAAAATTAAGTACAGTAGGCGGTAAATCTTACACTATTACATAAAACTGAAAAGTTTGTTTATTTGGACGCACTAATCTCAGGAACTACTGGTTCGATTTGAAAAATACTTTCTGTGTTGGATAGCCCGTTTATAGAGGAAGGCTATAGGCATAAAACATCACGCTACGACCAATAGGAGCCGAGGAAGTGGCTAGTATAGTAATAAAAGTGTTACGTTAGTATACTAAGCTGAAGAGTTAGTTTATTTGTTTGTGCTAATCTCCGAAAGTACTGAACCGAATGGAATAATTATTTTACTGTTGGATAGGCCCTTTATTGAGGAAAGTTACGGGCTTGATAATGACCAATTGAAGCCGAGCAGCGGGTAAAACGACGCGAGTAACTAGTATAAAATAATACTAGAAATTGTACAAATCAATATTGGGAATACATTATAAGTATTATTCGAAGAGCAAGACTTTTTTTAACCCGGCAATGTATCAACCACATAGTTAAGTTTTCTAAGACTTTACCTAATTCCAATGAAAATAATCAAAGTTATTTAGTAAACAGTTCGAAAATATACCTAATGCAGATTAAATAGGCCGATAATTCCCTTATCTTAAATTTTGATATCTACTTATGCAAGTTGCAGTCATGCACTAAATCTAAATATTTGGGACTTATTTGTTATCAGATCAGATTTGCAAATTCTGTAGGAGTCCCCTGTGTTGAACCCGTGATAAAAAAATGCAAAAAAGATAAACCAAGGACGTCTGAGTCACCTTGGGAAATCGATAAGGAAGGGATTACTCTAGATTTATTGATTTCCAATTCTACTACATAGAGAATAATGTTAAGTTTTCTTTACTTACCTACGAAGTCTCCAATCATACAAATGCCGATGCTCTTAACGTTGTAAGACACAGCATGAGCTCCAACGGCTTCCCAGCCCCGACCTTCGTAAACTGAGCCTTCACCGCCCACTGCGAAACTGCAAAAAATAATATAATGTTCATAAATATCTCTTGTATTTTGGTGAGGTAATAAATTGCAGCTAAAACATTGGTTTGGGTTTTGATTTATTGCCTGGTGCATCCGAGAGACATGAGGAAATTGTTACTAATTATAGAGTAGTGCTTCGACTGCGATAGGGTATCAGGTTCGATTCCCGGGTCGGGCAAAGTATAACTGGGTTTTTTAAAATATCTCAGTCAGTAGTAGCACGGAGCCTGGATTTGTGCCCGGTATATGGCAATAAGCTCACTCCCTATTACACGGCACTCATATCATAAATAGTGAAAAGTGGGTGTTACATTGTACAGTGGCATTAAGTGCCGTAATGTGCACCTTTGCCTAGCCCTTCGGGAATAAAAAGGCGTAATGCTATGTTTTGTTATGTTATAGTTAGTAGTAGTTGTCAGTATTTAGGATATCAAAATAAGATTCAGTGACAGAGTCTAAAATTATAATATAGTACTAAAGCTACACTTCTGCATATCTTCTCAACAACTATTACATTATGTGTGACAAACATTAGTCTACAAATCACAATGCAATAGTCTGAAGTCCTCAAGACGTCGTGCAGACTCACGCACCGGCGCATGCGGTGAAAAACATGACGCTCTCCATATCGTACGATATCAAGTATCAAGTACCTACTAATGCAGTTTTATCAATTAACTTAATTGCTACTACTAACTAATACGATAGTAAAACTGTTATCGATTACTCTTCCGTTTCTGGTTTGCGCCTTATAGATTATAATACTCAGTTACAAAGTTATTCGTTAAATTTGAAAATTGGGGTGTACCTTGAGTAGTACCGATTCTAAAGTCCTTTTTTGCGCACAGTATAGAAGAATAAAATCTTTCGTTTGGTTTAATTTTAGGTAATACATAAATTCAACATAAAAACATTAGATACACAACATTTAAAAAACCAATGAGAATTTTATCTTTCAATGGCTGCGTCGAAAGTTATTATGGCTTATTTGTTCTAATTTCTCAATAAATCTCGAAAAATATCTGGTAATTTTTTCACAGACAAAATACAAAACCCTTTTATAGTAATATACGAAACATACTTGTATCCAATATCCTGCCATCCATTAACGATCTGATGCATATCTTGCATCAGTCTCATGTTGTGCTTGCAGGAGTCCTCAGTGTCGCAATCAGGAGGAATGTAGCTGTGGTGGACCACCACGTAGGGTACTGGCAGAGATAGAGGGGTCGCGCCATTAGGGGGTCTAGCTCCCCACGACTCCCGGCCCACGAAATTGAAGGGGTAAGCTGTAGAAGAGATATTTTATTAAAATATGCAATTTTTGCAATGTAAAATGTTAATGCAATGGTATTGAAAAATAATCTAGACCTTAGGCGACGTAATTATTTCATTTAAACTGTCAAACACCAAGCGGTCACCGGTGACCGCGACCTATTGTTCTTTAATTGTGTCTATAAAACCGGTACTCGACGAGTTAATTAGATTTTCTAAATATTTGTATTAATGTTTTTTTTTATTTACTTACAGTAAGCGTTGCGTGATTTTCCAGAAGGAATTGCTGAAACGGCTAACACGCAAGCACAGGCGAAGATAATTTGAATTATTTTGGCCATTGTTTCTGGAAAAAAATAAAACAAACAATTAAAATATTGAATTAAAGAGGATAAGGACTATGACTTGGTTGTCAAAATTAATTAAAATTAAGAATAAAAATTCGTATCCATATAAAGTTATAGTGGTCAAACGAAAAAATACAATACCTCAAGTAATTTAATATAATGGCCAGTTAGATATTCTAATTTCAAATCGAATTCTATTTTAAAACCGTTTGTAAAAAAAACAAGTTCTATCACAAATTCAAATTTCGATCTTTAGACGCGGTATGTTGGTACACTATACAACGATCGTTAAAGCTTCACGTTTTCTTTCAGTTGAAGTTTATATCAAAGGAAGTGTTTTCTTAATAAGCCTCTGAACTTAAGAATACAAGTATATATAGCCAATATGTTATACCACAAAATTCCCCGAGCATATATGTCAACCGTTATCGCAATGAGGCGTGGCCTCTATATCCATGCTATAAGGACCAGTTTTGCAAATCAAATATCATTGACAAAATGCGGTTAGGAATAAAAGTGAAGTATTGAAGTAAGGTAAGTGTCGTATTCCCACATACTTAGAATTAATTACTGAGAATTTGAGATAAAAAGTTATTAAATAATGTGATATTTTAAAATATTTCTTGGTAAAAATTGTTATGTGGTATTATATAAGGATATTTTGAAAAATTCTTCCTGACAAAATTTTGTTAACTATTAAGTGATTGTGAAACTTTTCCTCAAACCCTGACGACTTAGACAAATAAACCTTAACTGAGGACATCTACCTAATTATCTCAGTCTTAAATATCTGTCTAAAAGGAAAATGAACAAGCCAACATGTTTTCCTTAATTGAAACTCTCCTCTCCTCCTTGAAATCCTTAATTATATTATTTTGTTTAAATGTAATAAGACTGAAATGACTCTTAAGAAGTAGCATTCATCTACTAATTTACTAAATTGACACCCTTTTATTAAATATAGACATTTTTGAAATATCCAGATATAACTTTATTCAAACATACCAGACGCACGTACCAGAAATTGCTGAAACAATTTAATTCTCTATTAAAAAATACATAGATTCCATATTAGTTCTTTGACTATGTTTAATCCCTTATTTCACTAAATTTAAAAACTAAAAACATTTTTTATGGGTTAAGCCGGTAAATGAGCCGACGGATTGGTAAGCAATCAGCGCCGCCCATGAACACCTGAAACACCCGAGGCATTAAAAGCGCATTACCGGCCGATTGGGAATTGGGAATTTGAGGATTGTGGGGGATTCGGGGATTAGGGAGACTGGGGAGAGGGGTAACTGGGCCTAGGGTAACCTCACTCACATGACAAAACACATCGCAAGCATTGTTTCACGTTGGATTTCTGTGAGGCCGTGGTATCACTCCGATCGAGCCGGCCCATTCGTGCCGAACAAACGGCTCTCCCACTCTTAATTATCTTGTAACTTGATATATTTCTTTATTTAACCTTATAAATTCCAGAAAAGGGAAGGTGTGTCACAAGGACTAGGTAAACAAACGAACATCTATTCGATTTCTAGTTATCTGTCAAACACACTTATAGGCACGTGTTAGACACGTCAATCGCAAACTCCGAGTGTTATCAAATATATGATAACATATCTCCAACAGGAATATTCTCAAGTAGCTACTATATCTACAAAAAATCGTAAAATGTAGGCACGTGGCACAGGGTCGGATTCTATAATATATATGTATGGGCCCCTAGTTTTGCGAGTGGGCTAATCGAATTAGTTGATCAGTAAATCTTGACTTAATTATTTTTCACTAGATGGATGGGAGAATTATTAACTAGATAATTATGATGTATGTAATTTTTTACGTGTAGTGACAGCATTATCCTATCCACGACTCACTAACTGACAACATTTTTGGTAATTTTTTTAAACTTTACTCTACTCGTACTGGTTCATTATGCATGTATTATACAAATGAACCATCGTTAAGAATCACTCTATCTTCCGTTGCGTAGTTTTAAAGATCTAAGCATACATAGGTACAGACAGACGGCGGTTAGCGACTTTGTTTTATTCTATGTAGTGATTGTGTAAATATGTTTGTCATAATTATAATATTACAAAAACCCAGTATTTGTTGTAAATAATTACATTAATTGATTTCATAATCGTAAGATAATTTTTTACGATGTCATTGTCGTATTTTTATTTAATTTTTTCTATTACCTATTCTGGACCTTTTATATCTTTAGGGCCCTGTGCTGCACTGAAATCGTTACCCACGCATATAATAAAACTAACTACGGCCCTACACGTGGAACATCAGTTATTTGATTGAAAGATGACTCAAATCGTTAGGTGTAGGCAACAATCAATCGTGCCCCTTATTTACGGGATTCAGGTATTTTTCCATATATTGTTACCTAACTGTCACATGTATCGTTATTAGTAATATGTCAAGAGTTTAGTTATAATTTCTTTATGCTGGTGTTAGTCATAGTTGGGTGTAGAGGGAAATGCTTGATATATATGTGTCTAAGTTAGAATTACTTACCTGTGTCTTTGAACAAGGTTTGGATTATAGGTAGGTACCTAATGAGTCATGGTGAAATATGGATTTTGATTTTATGTTCTAAGTAGTACCCAGTATTTTTTGTTATATTTTTGTGTTGAGTGACTAAGAGATCTTCTATAGTGGTGGCAAGGACATAAAAAAAGAGAAATACTTAAAAAACATCAACTGGACAGTTGCGTTATAATAACTTTTTCTTAAAAATTATAATTGTAATCGAATCATAATGTAGATTTTAAAAAACACCTCTCTGAATGCATATTTCGTAACATTTATTATTAGATGTATGTCAGCCCAATATTTAGTATGCAGGTGGGAAAATAAAGGTTAAATACATAATGTTACAAATAAATATATACAACCTAATATTAATTAAAACTAAAATAGCGAATAAAAAAAAGAAAAAACGAAATTCCGTCAGGTAAGTCCGCATCACTGTCACTGGGAACCACGTGCCTAGAAGACTGGCAGCATTGCCACGTTGAATGACAAAACTTATTTCTATCTTAAAAAAATAGCCAGCTCTCTAGTCACGAGTAGAGAAGATTAGCCTAAGAGTAATTTCTTTAAAGTTGATTTGATACATACATCAGTAATTACTGTTAAACTAAATGCTTTGCAGCCATTGGTTGGTTGAGTAGCCAACCATTATAGAAGTTTCAATACTGAATCAATCTTTTTGCGTTGCCGACTATCAAACTATGTAATTGCGCCATAATTTCAGCAGAGGAAATCTTCCCAAAAATGATACAACGTTCAAACAAGACCAAAACTTTTTTAATAGTAAAACGAATAGGCTTTTCACAGTTCAATTTTTTTATGCCGTAATCCGGGATCAATCCATAATGGGATAAGCCGGTAAACGAGCAGACGGATCACCTAATCGTAAGCAATCGGCGTCGCCCATAGACATCTGGAACACCAGAGGCGTTACAAGTGCGCTATCGGCCTTTTGGGGAAACGGAGTTTGAGGATCGTTGGGGAATCAGGGATTGGAGAGATTAGGGGGGGGGGGGGGGTAAGGCTGTCAGTTTTCTGTAAAGCCGTGATATTACTTTGTTTTATTGTATTATTTTTTTTGTAGGTATTGTCCGGTGTCGTATAGACATTTATTGTTGTATAATTCTAAACACTTATCATAATCAATCTTCATTATGAATCCTATCGATGAAATATCTAACTATTAAATCCTAGTCTAAGCGGTCTAATCTATCGGAAACAAGCTATCTAATCAAAATTGTATTGAATTAATATTTTGTTTACTTGCAAATTTCAAATCTGCTAAAGCTAACTTTTAAATTAGGCAAGTTCAAATAATAAACTGACTATATCTAGGATATATAGGATATATATGTAGGATTGAGAAACACTTATTTTAGCTTTTTTTTAATGTTTTATAGTATGTGGAAGGTTCTTATAAGAAAAAAATTTGTAAATGTCATCAGAAATATCGCGAAATCTAAGTACTTATTGTAAGTTGAGAAATTCACTGAAAGCTTAGGCGGTTTGAAGACGTCAATACTAAAGATTTTTTAGATATTGATTAACTTGATATACCTACTTTATCCATAAAATATTTCCAATATAAGGTACTCTAAGAAACTAAATTTACAAAATGTCATTACTTAAAAACAATACCAATTAAAAATATACACAAAACTAAATAAAAAAAACAAACTTACCTCAGTAAAACAACAAAAAAAACACAATAAAAAAGTAAACTAGAACGGAACACGAAACCTCTATGGTGACTGTCAATGGTCAGTTTGTATTTATATAAGAAAACACATACATAATAATAATATATAATAAAATATGTAAATGTGTGCGATATCTTCGAATCATTCAAGATAATTTTGTGATACCTGATCTGTATCAGCTGTGATTCGTCGCATTATTGTAATTAATTGTTTGTATTATTCTTTGGGAGGCTTTTAGAGGCCGGGTATTAACCTTTCATGTATCTTTGACGCAAATTAGAATTGTTGTTTTATTCTGGTCAATGTTTTAAATCATTATTCAATAGAGACTGCCTCGTTGGCCGAGTGGTCGCAAGTGCTGCCGGGCAAGAGGTTTCGGGTTAGATTTCCGGGTCGGGCAAATAACTACTGGGTTTTAAAAAAATTCTCAGTAGTAGCACGGAGTCTGGAATTGTGCCCGGTATATGGCAATTGGCTCACCCCCAATTACATGGGACTCATAACATAAATAGTGAAAAGTGTGTGTTGCATTGTACAGTGGCATAATGTGCACCTCTATCTACCCCTTCTAGGATAAAAGGCGTAATGTTATGTTATGTTAATCAATAGAAAATTGATATTATGTAAAACTTTAGATACCTTTACTGACAATGTAATTGAAAAATCTAGTGATCAAGATATTGATTAGATAGGTAGTCGATCTTGTTGTTACTTGTTAGTCGATATGAGTACTAGGTCCATAAT